ACTGCTAGAGTTAATGCCCGTATCGCAAACATAAAGGATATAGAAGGTGTTGGTTTGGACCTTCTAAACCACAACTATATCTGTTTATTATTCCCCTTTTATGGTTGGGATAGTCGATACTCCTCTACAAGACATAGAAAATTATACGACTTTAGTTAAGTTAAATGTATGGCAAAATAATGTTTTGTTTACTTGTAAATGGGGTCAGAATTTTCAATGTTTCATACCTTTGGGGTCTGTTGTGGGTTTTAAAAGCGATTTCAACTCTTTTGAATCTCTTTACTTGCCAGATAATGGTCGCATTAAAGGTATAGGAAAATGCTGATCTCGTTTGTTGCTCATTATTTGGTCTTAAATTGTGTTCAGATCATTTTAGATTCCCTCGGATAATAGCATTCAGCAGGCTTACTTCGAGGAAACGTCCGTCTTAACGTTTAAAGCAAGTTAATGAAAGCAATGTCTTTAGTTGACTGCTAATTGAATTGAGAAACGTCTTCTAAGGCCTTATAATTAACACCAATAGGATAAACAAATTCTGATAGCTGTACAGTAATGATCTTAATCAGATATTTATCTTTAAAGGTTTATTTGATGTATAAGATCAGGTTTGTGTCATTGTTTATTTCACTTCAGTCAAAGTATCAATGTCTCTCAATCTGGACGGCTAACAAAGAGAGAAAATAAGCTCAGTTTTTGATAGGAAAAGACAGGTCACTACACTCTAGAGTCTGTGAGCAAGCTAAGTACCACCATACTAGCTACATTTCTTTGATACGATTAGTGCATAGCAGTCAGTATGCTTTTGTTTTATAAAACCTTGATAAAATAGGAATAACCCCGATAATAAGGTTTTCATCTCATTTTTAAGTGTATTATAAGCTAAAAAGAGTAGGGATGGTTCATTGACTCCTATGGTGGGGACACTAGTATAAAGAGATATTGGATTTTCCACTTCCAGGAATAACGAGTCTGTCATAATCAATGGTTTTAATATTGTTGTATTTTCTTTGCGGGGCTACAACATGCACTACTGCTTCTAGTAGCATGCATTCTTTAGAATTGTACGAATGCTTCCTTTTGTTAAAAAATTTAATCAACCAAGGCCAGAATTTTCGCATCCGTAATGTCACCCATTGGTCTTCAAACTAATAGTATTAATTGAGTTGATAGTATCCGTGAGCAATTGAATCTGTATCTCATTTGCAATTCTTAAGCCACGCGGTCTTATGCTCAAAATATTAATTTTAAAAAAGGTATGTGCTCCAACTGATGACCCTTTTCTGAAGATTGTGAAAACATACGTCTTTCGTTTATAAAGTTATAAAACCGTGTTTAGGTTCTTATCAACCTCTTGTTTTGGAGTTTAACGACGTAACCTTTGTTAACTTCCCATTTATTTTAGAAAACTTATGATATTTTACAATGGTTATAAGCTGGAAAGTGTTTCAAACAAAGTTTTCTAGCAATTAATATGAACTATATAGTATTGATGATAATGATAACATTGATTAACGCCTCTTCGAGAATCTACGATCTTCATAAATGCTTCCGTAACTGAAAATTCCTGCACCTTTTTTGAAAAGTATCTTCAGCCCTTGCCTTGTAATTATGGTTCTGTGGCACTTAATTTTGAAATATTTTCTTTTCATCTTGGGCTGGGGAGAGAGAATGATTGTTTCTTTCTTTTCGATTGTAAGCTTGAATATCATCGGTTGATCTTTTTTTTAAACAAATTTTTTCAACAACCCATCATCATCTTGATAGTTTTACTTGACTTGGTTATAGATCGATATCTAATACTACTTAATTCTATTTGACAAATGACACCTCGTTTTGCGATCATCCCATCTTAAAAGGATTTAAATCATTTGATTTGACTTTGATTATTCATACATTCTTGATTGGTGAGATAATCTTCTCGATTACGACCTTCTCGCTTGGATCTCCATCAACCCTTGCCTGTTCCTCTTATCAAACCCAAGCAATAGCAAATGTGAAAGGCCAGACTGCCTCTTTTACAGCACTAACATCAGATACAAAGCGAGACTGCGGGTAAATAGTTTGAATTGCTGGGCAGAATGGTTTAATACTTGGAAAACGTGGAACTCAAATCCAAACACAGGATAACAAAATCAAAAAATCACGGCATCAAGGGGGATAGCGGGGACGACTGCCCCCTGCCTTACACCAGCAGGGGCTGTGGGGGCGACATGTGTCTTTATAACCTATAAAGAAAAGAAGCACATTTGATAAATGTTTGTGTCCTATTTCCAACGTGCCCCCACTGTCTTTATCGTGTGATATCCCCAACACAATCCACAATGTATAATATTTGAGATGCGGAGAGTTTTCCCCATACTTGTTCCATTTATTCAAGAATCTGTTTTTGTTTGTTTATAATGCCTTCTTTTGCGTTGGACCTGCGGATTTTTGTCAGATATGTTATAAGGGTAACGGTAAACTTGATTCTATTGTGAGATTTATTTAAGTATGAAAAGGCAAGCTATGCTATTCTACTAATTTTTTTTTTACAATATCTTTCATCATTGTCTCAGTACCAGTATAATTGTGTACAATTTTTGAAAACGTCGGTCAATAACTCCAAAATTCAAATTTGTATCAGGCAATCAATTGTCAGAATTGAATATCGCTGATAACGAGCAAGCAATCAGATATCTTTGTCAATATATTTATCTATAAACTAATTCAATTACAATACAGACATACAAACAGTTCAATAACTATACTCTACAATTTTTATACTATACTATACTTTACAGTTAAGATACGGTGATTTACTACACTCGGGATAGAGTAAGCGGAATATTAATGAAAAATTTGTGGAATTGAAATTTAAGGCCGCAAGCATAGGACAAGTTTAACTTAAGATTTTCCCTGCTTTATCAGCGGTGCAGTCTTTTACAATTTAAAATAACAAGAAGGAAAAGAAAAATATTTCCAACATAATTAAGGTAGTGACATATTTAGACATTAAACAATACAGGACGATACCACAAAGGGTGTGTGCATGAATATTTTCCTTGAAGCCAAACAGGAAAAGAACAACACAGAAAAACAAAAAAGGGTAAAGGAGGGGAAAGAAAAGAAAAAAGAGGAAGTTGGAAGGTGCAGCTTCCTTGCAAGGTCTTCAAAATGAAAAAAAACTGATCGTGCGATCAATTAAGCAAAGATTAAGATTAAGCATTTGTAGCAGTAATATATTTTATGATTTCTAATAGTATAGGCCTATTTGAAATGTCACTAAACTGTGTATTGCCGTAAAGAAGTAGTGAAACCAAGTTATTCTCATTTAAACTGTAAATATTTAAATCGTAAAACATGAATATGTCTGATACTTTGTCAAGGAACGGGTCTCTGTGTGTTAAAGCAGGTCAGGTTTTGCGCAGGTCAAAAGTTTTGTTATGAATCGGCATAATAAAGATTGTGTTTCCCATGAAGGAAAACGCTCTTTTATCTTCATTTAAAAGTTATCCCATGTTACCGCAAGTCCAGAAAGTATAGTGTTTGCCAAGCGAATTATGACAGCTACCAAAATAGCACGGACTGTGTTGTGACTTGATAAAGAAAATACAATATTTTTATTAAACATCGTTATTAATTTTAAGAATCTTCAGTCAGAAAGCTACAGCTAAAAGATATAGCTGTGTGTGATTTTTGAGTATTTTTGGACTTTGTTACGAACTTTAAGAGGAAGATATTCCTTTTTATAGGAAGTGCTACTTTGCTGCTAAAGAAAGTCAGCAATCAATAAAGATGTTGGTGTATATATAACATATTATCCTATCTTTATCTGATTATATCAATGTCGTTAGAGTGATTTTCTCATAAGAGCTTTATCCTCTTATCCCCTTCGTGCACATTTTTAATTTTCTTCTCCATCATCAGCTATACAGTTTCTGCCAGAAAAATATTTGACATATCCGTGATGGTTAACGGCTAATAGGTTCTTTCAGTGGTTGGTTAGATTTGTTTAAATTTATACTGTGACCATTAATCTCGTGTCTCTAAATTACGATTTTAATCTTGAGTAAGGTAAGTGCTGTGGGAAACCCACTACACGGCTACTTATTTCTCCATAATAAAACGCAATTTTGCCAGGATATAGATTTCTCGCTAATTATAGTCATGCTAACCATTGGCTTTTATCGACGACACTTTCTTTTCTGATGGCCTACCTTCGTCTCATTTGTCCTTTCTCATTAAATCAGCCTCTTCTACACAGACATCAAGAAAATTTAAGGAGCAGTTTCGCTCCTTTTCGATAGTAGATCCTGTAGAGCTTGATGCAAATAATTGAGTTTTTGATAGTGACGAGAATTTCAAAATCATTGGGCAGGCTAGATCGTCTTTTGATAACGTTGTGAGAAAGGCCTAATTAAATACTGGTCAAACACAAGCACCCAATCAAACGCACCATTCTTTTTTCACGCTACTTTTCATCAGCTGATTCTGGATCTGTAGATTCCCTGAATCTGAATTTCGTTGTTCAGTTGTTGGTTGTGCAGGGGGCAACTCCTGTCTTTGTGTTGGGTGAGGAAAACATTCAAACTTCGTGCAATAAACATTGTATATAGTCAGCATGGTGTATTTGTTGAGAGAAAAGACACCCTGGATCTACCTAATGACCAATGAAATACAGCAGAAGTTTTTAATTTATTCTGCTTTACGTGTATCTTATTGAATTCAAGTAGTCTTTAAATTAAAAGTAATTGATTTAGGATAAGCAAATATGATTTTCAGTTACAGTCACAAAACTTGGTGCCTGTATTTGTCTAGCGTTATTTAAATTTTCCCGGTAACTTAATGTTGTTCACGTAGGAGGAAAAAAATTGGCTCCAAAATCCCTTTCAAGCGTTCCAGGTAGAATCTTTAGTAATTGGACCATTTAAGTAAATATATTTTTAGACGTAATTCTTCGATATGGCATAGCTGCAACTGCTTAATCTTTCACTGTATCTAACTATTTTTCTTTTCCGCAGGTCAAGATTTGTCCTCATTGACACTGGAAGAGAGGCCAGGCTCAAGACGAGGCCATCGATCATTACGCACAGTTGCAAATATAGAAACTCTAGTTGTAGTGGACAAAACAATGGTTGAATTTCACGGCGAAAAACATGTGAAAAATTATGTTCTTACTATCATGAATATGGTATGTTTTATATGTTTGAATCGTAAAGATATCAACGATGTTTCATAATTTCTTTAATGAGTTTCAGCATCTCTAGTCGGCTAGAAGGTTATGTTGTTCAAAAAGAATTGAGATTTGTAATTGTGTTTTTAACGATATTCAGTAAACCGCACCTATGATTGCTGATGTCATACACCCAATACTTGAAGAAATAGGGGTTTAATTGGAAAAGATTTGGAAACGTATTTTTCGCTAGCGTTGGCCATGTTATCATTAATGAGCTGTAGTTGTAGTAATTCTTCGCTAGCGTTGGGCATGTAAAGAGCTATTCTCATAATGACTTAACAAGTGTTTGAAATCTTAAAAATCTGATCTATGCATAATTTATAAAATGAAATATTATTTTACTATTTTCAAAATTTCAGGTTTCCAATATATTTCGAGACCCCAGTATCGGAAGACCAATTAACATTGCTATAGTTCGGCTCATCATCATCGAAAAGGTAAATCATAACTCAATTGAAATTATTGCGAAGGAGATATAAAACCTCCATTTGGGTACAGGGCTCCATTTGGAGTGTTTTCGATCAATATCGAGGTCATACATGGTAAAAAAGAACTAAGTCATTTTTCAAAAAATCTATGACCCCTGACCTGTAAAAAACTTGAAAAATATGAAAAATTTTGCAAAAAAATTTTTCACTTGAAACAACCTTAAATGCTTGAAATTATGTTCGGAACACCATTCAGAGTGTTTTCGATCAATATCGAGGTCATACGTGGTTATAATTTCTGGCATGGAAATATAATTTTCTCTTTCAGCTTTTCCAAAAAATCATCTTTATTGTGTATTTTTGCCACTTTTCTTCATTTATTCAAACATTTACCTTCAAATCACGATCTTTATTTCTATTATCAAACTTCTGCTTTTTTGAATTGCACACGACCAACTACTATCAACACTCTATTTCCTATGTTTTCCTTGACAGCAAAGACTAGATACATTCACAGTCACCTACAGTGCAAAAGCAACCTTGCAGAGATTTTGTTTATGGCAAAAAAGACAAAATTTTGATGACCATCGTCATCCCTATCACCACGACGTCGCATTGCTCATCACTCGGTGAGTTGCTTCAATGATTTTTGAAGTTCTTTTAATGTAATACAGTAGTACCATTTGTAAAAGAGATTTCAATTAGCCCTTCTGAAGGTTGATATACCCAGGAAAATTGAAGAGACAAACCAACGACTGCTGCGGCAAAGAAGTGCGTGCAGTAAGATTTCATTTTTACTGTGATACGTGTATAAGGTAATAGTGGAAGAGGGAAACAAAACGGAAAAATGCTGTCTTTTCTAATTACTGAGATTGATTTTCATAACATTTTTGAGATTCTAATTTATATTTCTATGATAAAATCTGTGATAAGCAGCTATGTGCCATTTTTTATTTTTTAACCCTTTAAAAATTTTTCTACTGCTTGAGGTCAAGGAGTGACCAAGTTCTTTCGATCTGATAATCGTGTTCTTTGCCAAATCACAACTTCTTGTTTGTCATGGAGAGATTAAGATAGACTTTTGTGTTATTTTGAGGAGACATTTCCTTTCCCCATCCAGGATTATTTCAAAAAGGATTAAAGATAAAGTTTAAGTTAGGTCTAAAACCAAAGGGTAAACGCTGTTTAGACTTTGTGCTTGTCTCCCTAAGCTCTTTGTTGATATTTAGATATAGTTTGAAGAATTGGAGAAAATTATGAGGGAGTTGTCAACATTATAGAATTATGCACCAATCTTTACCCACTCCCCCAAAATTCGACGTTACTCTGAGTATTTACCCCCAAAATCGTTTTGTAAAAGTAGAAGGATGGAAAAGCTGTTCCACTAAAAAACTCGGGAAATTCCGTATTATCGCGCCACGATTTGAATGGATCAATTTTAACAGCTTTTTAGAAGGGTGTAGATATTTGAGCATGCATGCTTTCCACCATTTGAGTTAGGGGCCTTTGTGTCGACATTCCGCCCTGGGTTGTAGCATTGAGTACTGAACATAGCATTTTGGAAGAAACTTATCCAGATACATAAAAGCTTTGTTCAAGATGTTAAAGGTCGAAGCATTTTTAAAACCTTTCGATGAGAATGGTTTTGTAATTTATGGATAAAGTAATTAGTAGCAATACGGCTGAACATCTTTTGATTACATATAGCCTCCAGCTAATCAGGTCGTTGTTTTAGTGCAGTCGTCTCAACATACGCATTAAGCATAGGTCTGCCTATTGTTTATCGTAATTAGGGCTGTCACTGGTGCAGTCGTACTAAACCTTAGTGTCAAAATTGACTGCTGCTGTCTTCATTTGAGACATCATATTGTACTATTGCACATGAAACATGTCACTTTTTGTTCAATTTATATAAATAAAAGTTACTATTTGTAAAAGCTCCTTAAATATTGCTATTTGTGGAAACTCTGTTGATATCAACTTTTTCAAATGACAATGTGTATTGCAGGTTCAAGAAGAATTGAAAGTTGTCAGACCTTTTCTTATTAGAATCATACTGACATTTTTGTTGGATACATAATGCTATTACCAATTGATCAGACATGCATGTTTTTGAAAATATATTCAATCAATATGTCAGCTTTTAAATCATGAGCATTTTCTAATTTCCAATGGACACGTCAAGTCTTCAGGCTTAGACATCCACCAGACGGAAGATTGGTCTTGCTACCTTTCAAAACACTGAAAAGAATAATTGATTTCTCTCGAGCCAAAAATAGATCTATACTTTCATGCAACTGCAATTTTTCTAAAAAATGTTCTTGCTAAGATTTCAAGAAATTGTAGGATAAAGATGATGACGAAAGTTTGTAACATGTTGTCATCATTAAAAACATCGAGGACCATAGCATTGAGTATTTAGCCAGAGTATATATTGTTGCTTTCAAATGTTTGCTGTGATAAAATGGGCATGTTATCAAGTAAGAATTTAAAAAGAAATGGTGCTGGAAGAGTCAGAATGAAAAGCATAGATGCCTCACGAGAAATGATAAGACTAAATAGATTTGAAATTTGAAAATAGTGCTGCAATTTGAAAACTCTAAATGTGCAAAGCATTCCCTTCTCTACCTTTAAATTGCAATAGGATTTTCCGAAAAAATCACACGGCAAAGAATCGAATCACCAAGAGCCATATTACTATTCCCTTTTTCTTTAAATGAACTTAGCCCAAAGACTCCTAAATAATCTAGCCATTTTCATAGAGAAGTGAAAATTGTATTGAAGAATTTGGGTTTCGTCTGGTCTAAGCTGTACTAGATAAGAGCAACAAAGTATACAATGTTGATTCTTTTGACAAAACCCCTCTTTGCTTTTCTGTGGTGGCTTTATCTGTACTCCAATGTCATTTGGCTTTGTCTCAAAGTTAGCCTTGGTTTTTGACAAAGGTGCTTAGTCCTTAAGCCAAAAGATTCAGGGTTTGAGGCTCTACATAATAGGCTATTCCTTACATCAGCAGTCCAATGATTTTTTCAATCACCTGCTTCTTGTAAGTTAGGATTCACTGTTTAATTTGGAAATTTTTGTTTATCAAGATTAGTATCAAAGTAGCCATTGCTTTGACTTTGCAACAAAATTAATTAAAGCCAAAAAGTCCGGAAACAATTAACTTCAACTTCAATCAACTTGCTTTTGGTAAATAGGACTATGATTCACCTTGTGGACTCATAATCTAGGCCATAATTTCTAACGTGACTTTTGGCCCAATGATTATCATGTCCCAAACTCTCAACCTCATGACATTCAAATGACAACGTGAAATGTCGTATTTTCAATTTACATTGGGGTTGAAATTCCGAGTATAAAATTATAACCATTCTGTTTTAAACACCAAAGCGTGTACAGCTATTATTACACGGCATGGAGCCCTAAGGGCAACAGATCACTTCAACACGTATATTTTTTGGGGATTTTGTTTTCAAACGATGACCTCATTTGACAAAAAATATTGATTTAGCATTAACTGGCTTAGATAGAATATGTGAAACACTGTTGCAGCTGCATGATGAATCGGTCAATAAAAACCAATGTCTGCAAATTTAATTACAATATATGCAATTCATTTTTCTGATGGTATACTATATGCCAGGGTCTTTCTCAATACACCTTCTAAGAGAGAGGCTGTCTCCAACCCAATTGAAATGTCCTTGTTCAATGAAACGTGCTATTCTCCCCTTTGTTCGAAAATGCAAAGTACTTTAAAACTCTACGCAAAATTCATATCAAAAGAAAATTTTGAATATATCATTTATATCTTGAATATATGATGGATTTTAAATGATGCATCTGCCAAGGTTTTTGCACAATATCTAGAATTCTCATTTGATTTCAGGAAAGATATCTGTGGACTAGGTAACTTCCCATGTGCATCCATAGGTGAGTTCTTACAACTAATTCTTTCCCTGCTGCTAGCGTGTCAATATTTTGATATTTTAAGAGAGTACGCTTAGGACTTATAATGTATTCATTAAGCATTTCACTTTTGGGTTATTGAAAATTAATTTTTATCAATGTATCGCAGCTTTTCATTTTTTGGCGTCTTCGTTCGTTTTGACCACCCCCATTCCACGCCCATCTCCCACACTGTTGCAACTACAACTGCAATGACAAATCGTTTAATAAAAGCCTATGTGCGCCAATTTAGTTACAAGCTTTAATGCAGAAATTTTTTTTTTTCATTTGCTTTATACCTTTTAAATGCAACTGAAATGACGCCTAAGTCTGAAAGTGGCTTAGAAAATGAAACACCGTAGTTTGATAGAGAACTTACTTGAAGAAATCATTTAGGTCTGCGGTAACCGTTGTAAGGAGAAATGAAAAATGTAAGGAGGATAATCAAGTTTATCCATTTGTAATTATTTGTATTTGTCTTTCCAGCATCATGTTACGTATGCGATGTAATGTTCAAGATAATTAATGGAAGGAAATAGTTTAGAAAATCCTTCGTTTTCAATATCGTGATATCCAGTGCTTTCTGTGCTAAAGCCAGGGACACCAGATAAGGGAGCACGGGGAGTGAAACGCCCTTGTTGCCTTTTGATAAGATGGGCAAAAGGGGCAAGATTCCCCTTTTCATTAATGTGCCCTTGAAACCAGTCAATTGTGATAATCAGAGAGATTCAAATGAAATTCTGATTGTAGTGCTCAATTCATGACGACATTTCTTAGAATTTGTAAAATAAATCCTTATGCTGAAAGTTAGCCAATTTTTCAAATACCTGCAAAAGATCGAAATAAAATGGCAGTTAGTAGAAGGAATTTGTAGAAGCTGGGAGTTTTCTTTCAAACGCCCTTTTACTCATGCCTGTCTCCCTTGCCTCTTGGTCGTTCCGGCGTCCCTGGCTAAAACCACTTGAAAATCAGAAGCAGTAGGATATGGCTGCTTATTCGTGGATTTTCCAATCAATATATACTTTAAGAATTAACTTGAATGAATTAACTTAGAAAAGGCACTTAGAATTAACCAATCATATAATAAATGCAAACCCCCCTTCTTTGTACTTCGAAAAAATGAAATTATTAAGTCTTCTACCATGGAATTAAGACACAAGCCAAATTCAGGCAAATTAATATTTTTTTACATCGTTAAAACTTTCGCTGTTAGAAAGGTTACAAATATCTTCATTTTATTTTAGGCAAGTAGAAAAATGTTTCTTTTGTCAGACTCTCAAGGTATTTAGTTCCCCTGTTTACAAAATTGCTCAAGTTTGAACAATATTGCAGATATCAGTGACGAACAATTAAAGAGGCTAGTCCTTCTGGCAATTTTCAATTGTTTTATTTGTGTATTTATGCGATGAGCGTATTTCGCAGGTATGGCAATGCAGGGAGGTATGTGCAGCCAAAAATACAGTTGCAGCATTGTTCAAGATACCGGTCTGAACACCGCGTTCACAGTTGCACAAATGCTGGGACACAAGTAAGTCTGTACGGCTCCCTTCAAAGTTTTGAAAAATTGTCATGTCATGAAACGAATCATTTTGGCAAAATGCCTGTGTTCAAACTTCTCAACTGCAAAAAGTTGATAGTTTGCTATCTCCGTTGAGAAGAATGGCTTTAAAACAATCTGTCGTAATGAACAAAGCTTTTTAAAATAAGCACGAAATGAGTATCTTTCATACGTGGTATTTTTATACAGCTTTTAAAAATTTATACATTTCACGAAAAAATCATGGAATCTCTTCTTGTTACTGGAAAAAGCAACATATACGCCGATGAAGTTCCCATAAAACAATAAAATTTCCTGTAGCTCCCTACTCCTACCTGTCCCTGCCCCCAGCTACTGCACCCCTGAATGACATTAAAACCCTTTCAAATGTCAAATGTTCAAATGCAACAGACGGAAGCTGCAAACAAAGTGGCATCATTTTTACTTCGGACAATTGAGTGTCACTTCTACTTTGGTTAAATTCTAATTGATTTCACGTAACGAAAGTAGTATTGTGGCTTTAGGATCCTAATCTTCATTTCTAGCCTTGGACTGAAATCCTTAAAACGGACAACTTGTGGTGCATTTGGTGGGGGATCATACATAATGTCAGCATCTCGTTTGCGAAGTCCTTTTACCGATCGTTTCCAATGGTCCTCCTGCAGCCGAATCCAACTGGCACGATTACTTAGGTAATTCCCTCAAAACTTAAAGATTTTAGCATTAATATTGAGAATCTTTCACGAGAGAAAATTCAAAAGTCTCCAGCTTTACTGCTTCTTTGCATTAAAATTATATTTAGTTCCGATAGTAACCAAACGATTTCCTTCTACAGAACAAGTTGGCGCATTCCATATGTGTTTCATATTTCATATTTCATTTATTTCATAGCACGAACCCAGTAAGGGTGCTTGTCATCTCAAACCTAAAAAATTTAGGAAGACACGTTTCAAAATACTGAACAAACATAAGAGAAGCAGTCTACGAAAATATTACTATTCCTTACCTGTTTTTAATTGTATTACGTATCAGTTGAAACATTCAATGACAAGATTTCAACAATTTTTTTTGAAGATATTAAGCGCATAATTATTTAATTGTTTGACATCTTTAAAAAAAACACTGGACTGACAAGTACTGAAGAAACTTGGTCATGATAACGCTAAGAATAATGAACAGCAGAAATCGTTAAATATATAGATAATTTAAATCGTTAAATTACAGAGCATGTAGATTTTTAAATGTTTAATATTGTGCAATATAACTATCAAGGTTTATACTGTCGAGACAAGAAAATGATAACGTAACGAGAAGTAAGAGCTTTATAGATTGTTAAGATGTTGTCGAAATACCTTTTCGATTTATTAGATACTTTAGTGTACCAGCAAAGTTTATTTTGATTATTTCGTTAAGTGAAATTTTATGTAAAGAAAAATTTTGTGAGCAAGGAATCAGCGCATTATTTATATAAAAAAATTACTTACTCTTTACTAAGATTAAAATTTTCCGATACTTTGAGCTTAAACGAATCAAGTCTATATCTTTTTTGATTGGCCTGATTTTTCTTCCTTTTATATTTTTGAAGCTTTTAGTTGTCTGCCTATCATTGCTCAGATTAACTCCTAACTCTTCCAGCATCATTTGCACATTTTAATGCACATAAATTTGAACATATAATTGTCTAATAAAGCAGAAAAAATTATTTTTTTTTGACCTGATGTGTTGTTAATATACAGGCAAAGAGCGGGCAGATGCCTTTTGGATGATGCCAAACAAATAAAAGCGAAGAATGTCAGCCTTCCTGGACAGATGTATAGTTTAGATCAACAATGCAGATTCATTCATGGCGACAATGTAACTTTTTGCAAAACAAAACTAAAGGTATTTTGATTGACTTATTTCAATCTTGTTTGTTTTGCTTATTTTTCGTAAACAAGTCGAAGGTAAAGCATTTCGATTCCACGACTGTGAACCGGAGGAAGGTTATCCAACGATGCAGTAATTTTGAGGGAGGCCAATGCATAACATGATCGTCAACATAAAATCACACCCGGATGAAGGTTAAGGCGTTTTCTAAACCTTGAGGAAAAAGCAAACTTTACTGTTTAATGTTACTTTCTCTTAAAACAACGAGATTTTTCTGCAAGCAGGTGCAGAAATTATAAGGACAAGAAGTCAAATATTAACATTTAAGACACAGTCCAATAATAATAAGCGTTATTAAAAGACTAGAACATCACATCTCTTTAACTGAGCAAAAGATTTACTTCCATTGCTTCTACCAAAGACAGTATAACCTGAAATGACTGTAAATCGCGCAGTTGATGGTTGATAACGCACTCTTTTCACGTACTCTGTCTCTGTACTGCAGCTGCCCAACATTAATTTAGTGAAGGACTGCTCAAATCTGCTCAGAGCTAAATCAATCTTAAATTTGCAACACTACTGTTTTTGTGTAACCATTAGACAATTATTTAATATTTAGGAAAATTAGATTGATTTAAAGGTCATAACTTATGATTAGTTAAGTTGACAGATTGAATAATCCTGTCAACTTGGAAATTTTCCTTTTCATGGCTTTAAAGGTGTTTTACATTCTATATCTTATATCTTTATGAACACAAGCTGGCAAGAGGGTAATGACCATTTTCTTATGGTACAATATTCTGTATTGTTAAAAACCAACATATATCATTTAGAGTTAGCCAAACACATTGCTGATCTGGTTGCTATAGCTGCAGAACATTCAACAATTGCAGGTTTCCCAAACTGGTTTAACCGGTTTGTGGGTCATACAGCTGATTCAACATGAGTACATATCAATATAACTCTTTCCCATTTCTTCAGCATTTTTTTAAATAACGAGTAAAGAATTTTCTTACTTTTTTGTGAATTTATAACAAAATTTGGCCTATTTCTTTCGTTTCTGTTTGTGAAATCTTTCCAGAATTTGATTTATTCGCTTACATTTTCTGTCAACCAAAACCCAGAGCTACGTTTTTCTGTCTTGTAATTTTGTGTCTTCCCTGTTTTTTATAGAGCTACATTTGACTGGTTTGATTCAAAATTTTTTATAATTTTTATCTGCCTTACTATATAAACATAGCATTACACCATTTATCAACATCACAACATGACATATAATATGATAAACAATAAACATATTAACAGCGTCTATTTAAATATTCAATTGTAATTGTTAAGAGCTATTCTAAACATAAAGGACTATTGTCTTTCCAAAACTTCTAACCGATATTAGCAATAAGAAATTTTTTGTAAACAATAAAAATGTTATCCAGCAAAATTTTTCCTTGTCATTACTATACAGAGGTTCAAGACAAATTGATGCAGTGTCCCCAAAATATAAACCAAAACGCGAGATCAGATTGGAAAGTTTCTCAATTTGAAATTTTATGGTTGCAAAGTTTATCGATTTTAAAATTTATTGCAAATATCATAACTTCTCTGTACATATCATAATGTCATAATTCTTATAATTGTTGAACTATTTTAATACTGCTTTATAATACTTATGCCTTTCGCCATTTCCTGACGTTTATACCCAACGAAGTGTTAGACGAAAAGTACTTGAGTCAAATATTGCAGAACCGAAGGTTTATTTTGGAAACTTTTGTCTACCATCGCTATAAATTCTGAGGCCTATAATCTTGAAAATTCATCATAAACTTGATTTAAATAGGATTATTTTCAAGAAATCGATCAAGAAATATTTAACGATTTAAAATTTGGTTTCTAGGAAGTCTGCGGTGTACTATGGTGCACAAGAAATATTCAACAAACTGGATGCACAACTAACCGAGAACCAGCGGCTGAAGGATCTTCTTGTGACGAGTTCAACAACAAGGTAACCATGTTTGGTGCAATGCCTTCATAGATCAAATGGGGAATATATTGGTATCACATGAAATTGGCTAGGGTTTTTTACTATTTGTAAGCATGATTTTTAGATAGGAAAGTGGGGCTTTTGATTCTACGCTAATTTTTAGATGAATCAGAGGATATTGTCATTCTATACTAACAGGATGATGTCATTTTCCTTATATTAATTAATTAAGTTGTAAATAATGAAATATGTTTAAATTATAAATAAATCATAATAAACGATTCTGATAAATGATTTGATAGAAAAAGAAAAGAATGAAGGCTTTTTGTTGTAAAAGCAATTTGATATTTTTAGTGCTTGTTATTATTTTTGTACTGGTTCTAAATGTAAATTATATTTCAATACAAGAGAGCACTCACGTATGCAGTCGTTTGCATATTAGTGCAGATTTTATCCACCAATTTTCTAATTTTATACTCAGATGCCTATACTGTAACTAAAACATTCATTTAATTATATCGTCAACTTTGTTCAAGTGGTGCATTGGTGGCCAGTGTGTTCCAAGGATCGAAAAACCACTACCTATCAATGGTAATTGGGGGAGTTGGTCAGGATGGACCGCCTGCACAAGGACTTGTGGCGGTGGCGTTCAAAAAGTATCAAGAGAATGCAACAGTCCAAGGTAAGACATTTTGATAACCTGCTTGCCATTAACGATGCCTTCAGTCTATTGTCATTCTCTAGAGCGATTCACGCCAAAATCCCAGTAATGGTGCGGACAAGTGAGGTGGAAGGCTAACAACCATGAGGTAGGCCATGGAGGCTAGAAAAAGTATGACAATACTGATTATACTTTGCTTTATGAAATCTTTATGTCGTTGCCAACAAAAAGATCACTTTCAATAAAAAAGGTTCATGAGATACCTCTAAACTGGCTGAGAGCTGGCCACATAAACATGGGCTTTTCCCCCACCAAATCACTTTCATTTGGTCTTTGTTCATAACTTTTTTATTGTTCATAACATTACGTTATCAAATTAAAATTTTTCATTGGCCACATCTTACCAAATTTTTATCATTATGAACTGATTTGCATATTTAGAGGTATCCTGTGGTGTTCCTTTAGATTGTGCTGTCGAAAGTTAAGAAGTCCAAAAGATAGGTTTAATGACGTAACACTAAAGAGCTCAATTAAAGAGGCACCGACGCAAAATTTCGACCCCCGAAAATTGCAAAAAGATTTTGATCATATGAATTGTGAATAAAAGTTCTACCGAAAAATGGTTTTACATGCTTTGTATCACATACATGTTGCGAGAAACAAACAAGAGAAACCAATACGACTGAATTTTTGGTAACCTAGTATTTTTATGGTCCGGTAGTCACCAACAAATAATCGATTGATCATGTGAAATCCGAAAATAGTTGTGAGAGCTCTCGGTCGATGGGAATTTCTCGGTACAAGGCAAGCTTCTGTCTAGCGGTAATGGCTGCTCACGTCAATTAAATTAAAAGGGTTGAAATAACCAAGAAGGAATCAAATCAGTCAAAAATAAAGTTTCGAACCGCTCCCAACCAACCCCTTCTAGGCCTGCTAGGTATTAATTGCTAAACTTTCCCGTTATAAAATGAATATAATTATACTACTATACTACTTGCTAACCCCCACTGGTGAGACCTTGTCCAGAATAGAAAACTTTTTTTTTCTTTTTTATCCTTTTTGCGCCATGTTCGTTTAAAATTGGTTTGCTTTCAATTTTCATCGATCGTGACGACAATAACGCGCTCGTTCAAATTTTCCGATATTGGCCTCTATGCGACCCGCGCTCGCAGGCACTCGTACCCTTGCTCGCTTCAACTTTCTTCCCCTAAATTAAACCCCCTTTCTGTATTCAAGACAACATTGAGCCTTTTTGTGATAGTTTTAGCTGTTCACATAACAAACTAGAACGACGAAAGATATTTTTTGGCGATGCCAATTTTTTGCGTTGATGCCGCTTCCGTCGTTTTTTACAAAGACAGTAAACCAGCATTCTGTTTGCTTAGTCATTTACATGGAGTTAAGTCAAGTTATATACGCCAGATTGATTTTCACTTTAGACTGAGGTTTCTCTTACACCATCTCGGATTGCCTTGCTCTGTTCTTCGGCCCTGTTACGCAATGTCGGATTGCTGTGTTCTGCGAAGGCAAGAAACTGTTCTTCGTGTTTTGGCGAGGAACACTCCTCTTTTTAGCACGATTTAGTCTTTAAAGGGCATATTTCGCGTTAGAAGTTGGATATTAGAACAAAATCGTTTAGAGTGAAATTGTTTCGTGACATTTAATTTCGGTTTCATGAATTTTTACTGCCGTAAAAATCCAACCTCGATCCCGTGCATTGTACTGAACAAACAAGATAATGGTATTGCATTAGCCAATCAGGTTCATGACATATGCCCTTTAACAGTCAATGCCTTGGACGATTTAGCACGAGATGTCATGCGATAGGAAGTACTTCGGATTGGTTTTCACTTGCTCCTGTGTGAAGTGTCTGCCATTCCAGTTTTTCAGAGCAAAGTCCATGCAAGGAACGTCAGGTTTTTCTCGGCGTCGTGTAGCTCTAACTTTTCTCTGAAGATAAAGCAAAGCCAGCATCTTGTAACTTATGCCTAAATAAGGGCAGTGACTGTTGCCTTTGTAACCGTTCTGAAGTTTCTTTGTCATTCATATTGCTGTGAATTGCAAAAATAGATCAGTATCTGGTTTCCAGTTTGCAGGGATATTTGACTTTAAATATTTTCGTCAGCTGAGAAACTTTTTCTCTAATAAATAATTGGATTTTCCAGCTTGACAGACACAGAAATCAATTCCTATTTTGAAAGTCAGATTTAAGTATTTTCGTTTTCAATAGTTTAATGAATGTGAGACATATCAGTCCATAGCAAAATCTATTTTAGGATTTAATTAGCTTCAACAATTATTTTTGAAGCAATTATGCTTAATTTGTTTCCAAAAAGCCTTGTGGAAAATCTCCAACTTACTTATAAATGCATTTTTGAATGTCGTTTTTTATTTTTAGAAGAGTTATATTCTAAAGTTAGTCTTGGCAGAAGCCAGTGAAAATGTGAAGAAATTAGATTTGGAGGGTCTCGAGTACATGACTACTATAGCACTTTCGAGAAATCTTACACTCTTTTATCGTCGACAGATGATGAAGAATGCGCTACAGCACGAACTGTACAAAATGATATCTACACTTTGATGAATTGAACAGGATAGTTCTAAGTTGTAACTCTAAGTTTCACGCTTAATACAATCAGAAGTCAACTGTTCTTTTAACTGTTTCATAATTACTAAAAATTGATATCCATATATGAAAGGAAACAGACGTTGAATCATCTATGGGATCCACTAAGATTCTACAACAGTGAAGTCATTCTCTGGCATATAATTACTATACTACTAGCAATAAAATACTTTGACAAAAGTGCTAGTCTTCTCTGCGACGAAAAATGTGCTTAATAAAGTACTTTGACAAAGTTGCAAGTCTACTTTTGCGACGACAAATGTGCTAACTTAGCATTCCAGATCTCAATGCATTTCAGATCTCAATGGAATAAATAATAGTTTTAACCCCAGTGGGGCTCTCAGAACCTCTATATTGCACCAATGCTCGTCTGTAAAATCATTGATAACGGGTTTATTTTGTGTATAACATCTAGTACAGAAAAGGCAAGGCCATTCTTAGCATACTAATATCTCTCCGTTGTGACAATTTATTCGTTTTAAACAAAGACTTAACCACCCTGGTTAAATTCCCTACAATGTCTACGAGAGAAGCCTTGTTAAAAGTAATCAAAATGGCCTTCATGGAGCCGCATCCGTCATCCCCCCTAAAAGGGTAAGATGCATAAAACATTCCAACAATTTTTTTGCAACTCCGTCGCTTATAATAAATAGAAGAAAATTTTGCCTTATATTATCATTGGAAACTATGGTTTATTTTGAAACTTAAGCTGATAAAGTTATGAAATACATTTATGATTTTTGTAGTCACATTTTTATATATTCTAGAATCTACAATGCCCGCCAATAGTGTTGGAAAACCCTCTATACCCTGTTAACTCAATTTATCTCCTCCCTGTGCACTCCCCCCTCCCCCCGCTGGAAAATAATGACAATATTCCCCTCTGGAATATTAGCAGTGTATCAGATATTTAGCGAAATATTCATCCTCCATTCCAACCTTGTTCAAGGGGGGAAGGGGTCTGCCCTCTTGAAATAGGAAAAATGAAGGAAAAATTCGCATTTACTAAAAGCACAGTCTTGGTATTCCAATTTATTTTGGCTGCAGCTGTACGTTTCCAAGTTAAAGGGTAAGTAACTTCATTACACGTCATGAAAGATAACGAATAAAAATCCACTAAGGAACCGGAATCATAGAACCGGATCCTCTTTTTTATGTTCTGAACACAAATTGTACACAAGTGGTAGCACTGTCAGCGCAGACTAAATAAAATTGATCAATGTTTATCTAACAGTAAGAAGAAATGTTTATAGCAACAAAACTGACAGCTGAAACTGAAGTTCCATTAAAGTCACAAAAGTTAAAAGTTTCCATGGCAAATATCTGGTAATAAAGCTTTACTGGTAATTACTATTTTGCAATGTTGACTAACGATCAGATGAACGAGTATCGTTATGGCCGTGATTTACGCTGTGTGGTTTTTCATATACATAATTTTCTGTATTGTCTTACAAACTTATCTTTAGCTCTCAGCAAGTTAATCTGTTTTCTTGAGTTGAAAGTGGCAAAAAAAGGCTAAATGCTAAAAAGGCTAAAATACAAAGCGGTCTAAATCCAGCTTTTTTGGTTGAAACATTATTCTTGGGTGATGGCCCAAATAACTTAAAGAACACCAAATCTAAAACAAGGCCGCCTATTTCAAAATATAATATGGATATGATACCGTATCATATTGCTTATAGATACACCCAAATATATTCAAAGAAATTTCAGGACTTTCATCGTTCAGTTGTGACCTTTGCAAGCAGTACATGTGCAACATTGTTAATGTATGATTTATATTGTGTTACGGTAAGTTTAATTAGTTGGTTTTAATTAGCTTTAGTGAAGCTATATGATGTACCAACTTTAAATAAAGAAAGGAAAAATAGGACGGGGAAAATGGGGAAGCTTTGGAGCAACAAAGGGGGAAGGGGCAGATGTCTAAGCTCTTTCAGAAGATTAGACTATAATCAGACTGCTTCAATATAGAGAGAAACTAGTTTGATATAGTTATCCTAAGTTTATACTTGCTTCTATACAGTCAAGCATATATTCAGCAGCTTTTTTCCTTTCGTTAGAATTTAAAACCTTTAAAGTTCATAAATTGGAAGGGATATGAATAAGATGCACTTGGCTATCAAAAGGCGTTGATAGTTTTTACTCCTAATTTTCACAACAAAACATTGAATAATTTTGTTATTGCAAGAAATTTGACTTCATGTGACTTCATGGTCAATGTGATCTTATTCTTCTTCATGGGCCTATCTACTTCAAACTTGCAATAAACGAATGCCACAAAAAATAGGCACATAATGGCTGGAATTTTTTATTGTTTCGACTAAATAGGGTTATTCTTAAAGTAGAGGATGGGGAACACTGACGATTTTCTAATATTGACGGTCATGTTGATGGCAATGAGGATAGAAGTCTGGCGGTTTTAAGGGGGTCCAGGGGGCATGGCCCCAGGCCCCGCGCTTGTGGTAGCCAAAAGGGGTCCCACATCTAAGAAAATAGATTGAAGTTGTAAAGAACGAGGGCCCCGCAGATTTTTCTGGCCCCGCAGTCCCTAAAGCCGCTGCTGATAGAAGTACATGGGGAGGGTAGACTTGTGTATCCAAATTGCCAAGAAAATGATGAAAATGATTTGTTAAACGTTAATGAAATTAGGTAAGAAGTTAAAAATGAAGACAAATTCATATGGCAAAATATATAAAATCTAGGATTTTAACAGTTACATTGCTTGTTAGAAGACCAGGCTTGCTGTTGGGCCTTCTTACAGCCTTTTCCAGGTAAAACCTTTTTTTCAAAAGGGATTTATATTTGACAATAAGGTGAAAATACATAAACCTCTGACATTGAGAACAATCTGCACTGTTTTCCATCACGGTAATCTTACTCGCTTCAGTAAGATCTTTTAATGACCAAAGTCACACCTTCGCATATTATTATTCCCTCTAATTCTCTCTAAAAGATACCGTGTCTGCATCCAGCCATGGATAAGTATCAGCTTTTATGTTATTGACTTCACTCGCAGTATGCTGTTGTCACAGTCAACAAGGCGACCCATATATTCTTTGCTCTTAGGAGTATACATTTACTTTACAAACGGCAGATGTCAATTTTGTATAGGGCGGCTTTTTTCAATAGAAAACTCCTGGTTGGCTCGAGGAATTTTTTTACAAACTACAGAAGATACAATAGTATTTCTACTTATAATATACAGTTTCTAAGATGCTCTTCATTCAGAGTTCTTTCAAATGAAAGCCCCCCCCCCCTCCCCCTCCCTTTCCCTTGCTATACCACGTCCAGGGTATCTTTCTTCCTGCAAGAAAACCTTTGTTCGAAGTGTAGAAAGGAAGAATTCTGTTTAGCATGCCTTCATGACGTAGTGAAGCATTGAGTTTTTACAAAATCGTCCAGAAAACTATGTTCAAAATTCTTTAAATTTGTGACAAAATAATTCTGGCACAACCTCTCGAATGGTGATCTCTGATTGGTTGGAAAAGGAAAAATTTAATCCTGTTACTTTTTTTGGAAAATAAATTTCTTTATATATCCGGGAGTCTGAATTTATGTTAAAGGTCGAGAAGGAGCCAAAGACTTTGTATTTTTACCCTCACTTTTGCAGAAATGCTTCTTCATTTACTTTTTTGTTCAGTGTGGTAGAATATTTCATACCACTAGCTGAGGGTGACATCACTATATAAGTTTACCATTACTTATGATAATCAAAATAGGCATAAGCACAAATTAAATACGTTCTAAACCAAATTTCTTCCTTAGAACATAATATTTCAGTAAGCTAAGAATAAATATAGTCGCTACCCAGTTGATTTGTATCTGTATGATCAGCAAACACAATAGCGGGAAAACTTGGGTCTAGAACTCTCTGGTCCTGAAACTTTGATTCTAGAAATTTTTACGGTTTTACATTCCTCAAAGGGTTTGAAGCTATACACTTCTGTTGTTCATTTAAACCAGTGGTGACGCTAAGGGTTGCAGGGGTGCTACAGCCCCTCCGTCGAAGGTGGTTAGCCCCCTTGTCGAAACTTTTAGCTTTTGTTGAAGCAACATTTTGCTGTGCTCATATTTAGAAATTGGAAAATCGTTTGATACCTTGCAGTTTATCCCATTGAGTTAAGGAAGTATTTTAGTATTCTAGGCTCTTTTTAACGATGTTCAGTTTAATCTTTATTTGTGATAGGTTTCTTGGTACCACATACGCACAATTGTTTCCTCTTTCTTACATTACCTTTATTTGGTGGTTTCATGCTCCAGCTATTTGTCAAAATTGACGTGTCAACTTCGATACTGTTTGGGGGTGCTCGCAATTCACTATGCTCACTAATTACCTGAAATTCTTAAGTTGCTGTCACAAACCTCTGCAATACATTTTGTCAATCTAACATGGCATATAATTCGCAACATTCATTTTAAAATGATAATAACGGACTTTCCTAATAGTTTTGCCAAATCTGTATACCGGGACGGGCAACTACCCGAGGCGGCAGAAAATTTTCGAAATTTGATGCTTCCAGTTCCCTGGAAAATGCACTCTTTTAAGTAAATTTTACTAAAGCAATCCTCCTAATCCTATCGAAAATTCTTTTGTTTTTGCAAACAAATTGAACAGCAGATAAAAACAACTGGTACAATTTCGCCGTGGTCTTGAAAAATTCCATGTTGTCAGTTACTTCTCAAGGTAGGTATCAAGCAGCACTGGTTGCCAATTTAGATCCCTCTTTCTATCTTAGCATGCCTTTTTAGGGGAAATGGACACAAGGCACAATTTTACCTGGGCCTGGATTTTTAGATTTTGTGCCAACAAGAAATCTGTAAATCTTCAAATCATTAGTTTTTTTATCTTCCTTCATATCAAGAAATATCATATTTAGCCAAAGGAGGAATTACCTTTGCTTGATCCTTTATTGGTGTTAATACACAAAGGTCGCTGAAGTACCTAAAGTGTTTCTTCCAATGGGCAGATTTTATCTGAAATTTTCTATCGAGATACTATTGGGGGGTGTGACACCTCCCCGCAACCCCCCGGTCGCGACGCCCCTGGACTTGGGCAAGGCCCTTATTTAAGAAATTATTTGTAGGCTATTTTTTCCAGGGAGATGGTGCATACACATGTCCTTGAGATGTTTTAATAATCAATAGCGTAACGAAGACGCCGAAGATAGAATGGGTAAATGTGAAGCAAATAGAAAACATAAACCACCCTTGTTTCTGTAATATCTTGATACATCTCTCATTGTTTCTTGTTAGTTTGCATTCTATCTACACCCCTGCAATAGTATAATATTTGGTTAAGTTCTCAACAGCTTTTCTAAATTTGTCACCACTGAACAAAGGTAAAAGTCAAAACGTTTAGTTCTGAAAATTATACTTCGAAAATTCCCCATATCACCAAAACAGTGTAATTTTTCCCTATGTGGATGGTTTGATGAAAAAATTGTGCAATGTGATACAATCTCCACGTTTAAACTAGAAAGCAGCCCTTAATAATTAATTGTATTTCTAAAATTGAGAAGAACCAAAGTTGGTATTTTATTGGGGAAGTCACATTTGAGGAAATAAAGCCAGTTTGCTTACTAGGGACAGTATTTTTGACAAAAGTGGTGGGCCACTTTGAATGGCTAATGTAACATTCGCACCACCAGTAGTTCCTTAGCTAAAAGGTCCATGTAAGCAGGTTTATTGCAATACTGTATACCACAATGCTTCTAGGGCCTTTACACACTAATAGAATAAAGGACTTTTGCAAAATCCCACAGCGTTTTACTTTTATAGCAACCCCAAAAATATTGAAGACCTGGAATACAGAAAAACCTCGGAAAGAGACACGATAATCAAATAAACTAACTTTCAAGTTTATCTTGTGAATTATTTAATTCTGAATTTTCAGGCTCCCGCTCCCAATGTCAACCTAGTCCCCTGATCAACTCGCTCCGTTGGAAAATTTCTGGCAACACCACTGATCGAGACATTTATTGCTTGTTGATTTGATCTAGAGCAGGAGTGTGCAACATGCGGTCCACGGACCAGATGTGGCCCGCGAGAGGGCAAATTTCGTTGCCCGCGCGTAGTCAATAAATTTTTCAACAATTTGGTCCTTGTGTTATATTTATGGAGTACCATCCTTGCTAAAAATTTTATGATTCATTATTAGGCATACTTTCCAATAATAAGACAAACAACTCTGTCATTATCATAAGCATAGAGATAAATATCATCGCACATCAACTATGATCTAAAAGTTTAATGTGAGATTTCAATACACTTTCTGCGAACAAATAATGTAACATTTCAGATTGATCAATTTTTCATGTAACTGTTTGTGCAACGTTCCATGTAATTTTTCATCCAACTGTAAATATCAATCCATTCATTGTTCAATACAATAACTGCCGATGAATTTCATAACTATTCATCTGGCCTGCCAGTGCAGTAAGATTTTTGTCTATGGCACACCTAAAAGTTAAATTGGAATCCCTTGCTCTAGAGGCACGTCTATAATTTCAAAGTTTTTCGACCCTCTATGCATTAAAACGAGACCTAGACTTTAAAACTGCGCTTTTTATCATTTGTAAACTTAACATGAGACTTCTATCATTGATCAACCTTGCGATAACCTTGCTAATAACATCTAACACGCTTGAATTTCTCCATGTCTAGCTCAATATGCGGCTGTATTTTCTGTGGTAGAAAGATATGTGCGGGCTCCCTAGCAGCCAAAATTCCTAATCCTGTTTTAAATGCATTGGACTTTATTTGACAAAGTTTATGAAACCAATAATTACGAGTTACCGTTATATGAATTAGGCTCAGAACGATGATTAGATGTACGATGTCTGCGGTAGACTAGCAGGAAAAGACGCTATTGTTTTGTCATAGAGCAGTGGTCTTTGTGCTGATTCTAATCAATCAGCAAGGCTATTAACAATAACTGAAGATGATTTTCAACGTCGCCTAGATCTGTCTGCTTCACAGATTTCTAGCAAAATGGCTAAGAAGAATAGCAAGGAAATAGAAAAACGCTATTGTTCTTCTTCTTTTAATACTTTTAATCATTTTCTTCAAAGTCGATTATGATATACATATCCAAAAACAAATATATAACATCTACATTAGAAAAATAGTTTTTTCAGTATAAACTCAGTCAACTTGCTTTATATACAAAAATCAGTTCACTTTTTCCTTTGTTCATACATTTACAAAAAGACCTAGCAAAATACCAGAGGAGGCAATAAAATGCCTGCTGTTTATCCCAAGTTAATTCAACAAATGGAAATTAAATGCTTTCTAATTGTGCCTTGGTAGTTGATTGTCTCAACCCAACTCATTCCAAATCTCTTAAAAATTTTAACATGATTGAGCCTTGAATTTTAACATGAATTTTAACATGATCAATTTTCACCAAAAGCAAATTTTCAAAGCATTCTGTTCAAGGCCTTATTTTTGCATCTGTCGGTTACTAGTATCCGATCTGCAAATTACAATTATATCTTCCATCTTCTTGTTTATTTTGGCTTTTTGTCGCATTTTATCGAGCGTTCGACTATGCTCGCATGGTGCCGTGACCCAGTTAACAACTATCATCTTGATTTGAATGCTCAGAGTCGGAATGTATTTCACTATCAAAGGTGTCTTTCCGTTCTCCCTCTGTTGTTTCTTTCTTCCATTTCATTCTTCTGTTCTGGAACCATGTTTTCACTTGGGTTTGATTCAGTCCCAATCGCTCGGCGAGTTTCGTCCTCTGCGGCGTTGAGAGGTATTTGTGCTCGTTGAACTCCCTGTTCAGGACCATGAGTTGCAGTTCCGAGAAAACGGTGCGCGGCTTCCTGCATTTTCTTCCGCTTGCAGTTCGTAGAGTTGGCTTCAATCGGAAGTAAACGGGCAGGGTACTTAATACGGATGGACTTGGACCTGCAAAGTATTAAGCAGATTTAATTTGATACCATTTTTATCAAAGGAGCCATAATTGAACCTTCGGGACTGTGCTGTAGAGTTAAATTTTATGCTTAGTCACAATTTTGTTTATAAAAATTTTACCATCTGGATATCTCCTACACTGTTTTTCTTGGTAGCATTTCTAACATACCCTGTTATGGCAATCATTGTACGTAGTGACAATAGTAGATTTAGTGACAATGACAATTCAGTGACTTCTACCTCAAATTTCGTCCATATTTCACAAGTTATGAACTAATATTGCGACCTTGAATAGCATAAATATCAAAACATGTCAGTGCAGCTGAGACTAACATTTTGTTTGTTATATTTTATAATTGCACCACCCTCTGTCAACTTGACCCAGCCATACTACATTCCCTTTCATAGCTTACAGTGCTCGTGTGCACACACAGCAGCATTGACTCGTGCTTTACATGATTAATCTTAGCAGACCAGGTAAACATTTGCTATTGCTTTCGGGACGAAAACTTTCGATTTCACAAACCCACGATGTCCATGCTCTCATTAATGCTCGTGGACAGCTTTAGCTGTTTAATAAATGAAATATTCAGAAGATTTCTGTTTCGCTGGCACTTGGTAAACGAAGACAATTGACAACCGAGTTTAGCAATCGCTTAAGTGCGTTATTTGCAATATCATTAGACAAACAATACGAAAGCAAGCTATTTTCGCGACACCCTTATATTGTCGGCATAGAGAACGGATTTTCGCGGATTACACAGAATTACACTCATGTTTTAGATCAAAATAAAGATCTCTAGAAAACATTTAACATGTCGGAGTCCTTGAAAGATCTACAAGGCGCCATTTACAATTCAATGACACTATGGAACCTAGACCTCCTGCGCAGCTCTTGGGGCAATAGTGCCTGTTTTAATATGAAGGTGACAAGCTTGTTGCCCTTAGCAACTCGATACACTTACTGGAACATATTCAGGCTCAAATTCCACGAATCATCAAGTACGCCAGCAAAATTTATCCATTTAATGTGAAATATTGTACGAACAGATCTTGCTTTTGAAATGGACTTAATGGATTGCATCACAGTACATTAGTCTGTCTGGGTGGTTTAAATTAACGAGTCAGAGTAAGCTCCTTCTTCATGGCTTGTACTTTCAACGGCAAATTTCCTTCGTAAATGTTTTCACGTATAACAATGGAGAATATAAAAAAGCAAAGTGCTGTTTAGCAGAGAGAGGTGTTTAGATACGTATAGATATGGCATCTGTTCTAAACTGTCATTTACTCTTTTTGTTTAGTAATAGCTAACTGTACACATATATTTTTGTGTTATTGTGTTAAATGGAAAACGGCAAGCTAATGCGTTATATTTAATGTTATTTAATGTTAAAATGTTTAATGGTTGCATTTTTTGCAAAGTGTACCTTATGCTGGCTCTAGCCGTAGTGCAGTAAGTTTTTAATCTACTAAAAATGTTTATTAAAGCAGCTACCGAGCTTTCGCAACAATTTATTTTTGCTGCAATCTTAAGCTGGATGCCTTGTTTTACCATTTATGATTCACGAGTGGCCCTGGTTGTCCCAATCGCATTATTCACTCTTTATTAGATGCTTATTGGGTGCAAAAGGGTCGCACACGTTTTAACTTCTATTTAGAGGTACAGCACGGATGGTAAAAAGCTTAATAGAAGGCTTATATATATTATAAATTCAAGTCATGGATAGTTGGCGCAAGAGAGACACCCTCCTCCTCACGAGTTTCTGAATATACTCTCATACCGGCCTGTGTTTCAAGTTGTAGAATCTGGAGAATCTCTAGAATTGTGCCCATGCCGGAACTGCACACCACAAACTGAAATCAATTTGTTATAACCTTGATTTTTTTTGAACATATGATTTTTACTGACAACCGGAATGTTGTGATTATTAATCGAATATCAAAGGCAGGGGCAAAAATGTAATTTTAGATTTTCTTTAAACGACTGTACGATTGCCAAATGACCAACCTTTCAATTAAAGCTTTACAGCAACGAGAAGTGCAAACATTGCCAATGATAGACGAATTGGTCTCGCCGAAATTGGGTTCTACATTTACCGCGTCATAAACACGCAATGCATAAGATAGATATGTTTATATTAGTCTGTGCACAAGGGTAAAACAAACAGTTGCGGAGGAGTGTTGGGAGCAATAAGGATTTATTATTTAGAGAAGGATCATAGGTATTGTTATGTGGCGTCGCAGTTTAAGTTAAATGTAAAGTGAATTTGAGAGCTGTGACAACATGCTTGCTTTCAAATTACTTTGCAATCGCCACAAATACAATTGTTTGCATGTCTGCATGCTTCGGAGTTATTGTCTTTATCCAGTAAGTGGGATGTGAATCTAATTTTTAATTGCTCGCGAAGGTAAACCAATCATCAAGGAAAATTTCGATCCATGTCATGTCAGAACTCTTCTTCTCTTCACTTTTTCTCTTTATTATCCTTATGGCTGACTTTGTAGGTTATCAATCAAACAGCTAACTCCAATGTTTTTTTTCTCTTCAGTTGCTATCAATGTTGACAAGGTTATTTACATGGCTCTCTGAGTCTTTTTAGAGACAACACCTTATGTTTACGCTTCCAAAAACTGCAGGAACTCCAAATCAATAAGATCAAAATGCTCTTCATTACAAATGCTAGCAGAAGATGCTCAATCGATGAGGATAATATATCAGCTGCTATAGCTCTAATGTGAAGGAAATTAGCCTAATCTATAATGCGTTCAAAAAACCCTTGGTCCTGAAATTGCATATTCATAATCAACTGTCTATTCCTCGCACCCAACTCGGCCATAAGGCAGCTACTACTGGCTTGGCTGTAAAAGGCATTCAGCAAAATTTAGCCCTTATTTAACTAGTGTCTGTGCAATCTTCTGTTTAATTCTTGAGATATATGTACACTCTTTTTTTATAAGAACAATTCTATAAGAACACGAGCCTCAAAACTGGTCAAAAGTTAAGAACAAATTAAGAACAGGCTGAGGCTGAGCTTCTGCAAAATGCAATTTTGAACAACGTTTTTTTTCAAAATCGAGGATTTTTAGCCATGTGTGGGTGCTTTTTCGGTGAATATTCAAATTTGTCAGCAAATTAAGGCTGTCTCACTCTCTTTGTTGGCGAAAGAGGCCTGAACACCTCCTTAAAGCGAAAAAGCTAGCAATAGCACTGCTTACACCCTCTTAATTTAAGAACAAATTAAGAACAATCCAGCCTCAGATTTTCGAAAAAATTAAGAACAGTCAGCCTGAACTTAAATTTACTGGTTCTTATAAAAATAGAGTGTAGACAGTTAAAGGGAGTTACCAACTAACATTCTTACTCCTTGGACTTAATTTTTTTACAACGTAAATTTAAGGATCATTTCTTTTTCTCATTGAATTCTTTCTTCCTACCCGTGCTATGCGGTTAGAATTATCATAAAGCTTGATTCCTTTAGGCGCATTGAAGATCACTTAAATGCTGAACTTTTCTCAACTTCAGTTCTTCTTACTATTAGCCTTATTGAATTAGCCTTATCAATTTCAGCAAATGTAGCTATATTTGCAAGTACGATGCAAAAACCTTTTCTTTCAAGAAATAACTCTTTACGTTGCGTTTTTAGCAAACTCTCTACTTTCTAATTTTGATTGTTTGTGATTCTACATCGGTTTTCTCTATCATAAAATAGACAAGCTTCATTTTCACTTATTGAAGACTTCCAGAGTTATTGCTAAATTATCTGAAGACATGCTGTCAGAATCTCAATTCCGTTAAATGACTATGTTTTCTTTAAACTAGCTCTCTCTCTCTCTCTCTCTCTCTCTCTCTCTCTCTCTCTCTTGCCCATTTCTCAATGGCTGCATTTATTAATACTATACTGCCTGCACAGTGTTGATTAGAAATCTCTGCAAAGTCTCGAAGACTTTCATAAATCTGCTGCCGCTTAAAAAGGAGTTTCTAATGTAATCACTTCATTGTCTTCATATGCAAAATCTGATCATCGACAGCCTAGGTCTATCTTAAACCGTTGAAGCATTGTGCCAACTTCTTGATAGTCTCAGAACTTCTGCAAGCAGTTTATTAGATTTTAAGCCAAACGTAAAAACGTAACGCTAGCTCGACAGCCAAAGTTATGGTGAGCATTGGAAAACTTTGCAAATAAGCCCCTCTTGTGCTGATAACATGTTTCTTTTTCTTAATCAGGTAGTTTTTTCGACGTAAAATTGATAGTTTTGCATAGAAGACACATTAGTCAAGGACTCACTTGAAAAATAATAGAGATCCTGTATTTTGCGAGCAGCAGTCAGATAGTTGTTGCCTGAGAACATAATGATCCCAGTTTTTGTGTGCTTTTGCATTTTATGGTCAAACTTCATTAACGAACTTTGGACTTAAACAACTGTACTGTACAATATTTCAATAAAAATTTTATAGTTGCGAGTTGGGAAGAGGGGGAAAATAACTTGTCATTTGGTTCGAAGAAAGAAAAGAGTTTGAAGAATATGTTTTATTGTTCTACATTATTTGTAAAAGGACAGAACCGAAAGAAATTAGTTGGCAAGATCGAGGACCCAAATTTCGGTTCTAATAAGACCGTAGCAGACACAGTGATCAACGAGCAACCTCTGTATATTGAATATAGTAATTATATGCTAATGTGTAACTTTGCGATAATCTGAATGACTACAGAATAGCGCGTCAAGAATGTATACTGACGCTCCATAATCTATTACTCAGGATCCTAGCGTGGGTGACTTGCGACGGAATTTCTGATGATATTGGCAGCTACCAAAGTTTAATGATTATGAGGAAAGATAGTCTATGAGAGAAGTAAATTTAGTGGTAGAATTCTCATTAATTTTATTCCGCATAACGGACCTACTTTGATGGTTTTAAACTATATGTTGAAAGAGTCTTGTCTGTCAACACAAAGAATTTATTCCTTGTCGTCGTTGAATTATGTGTTAAGACGGCTATGGAATCTTTCAAAGAAGAATGTGTTTTCTGGCTAGTAGGCTGGAGGCAACCGTAAACAGTCCCTGGAACCTTGGAAGGTTAACTAAAAAAAATTTACTGAAGAATGAACACCCCTGTATAAGCATGAACAGTTCTCTTAGGTATGAACAAAGGCCATGAAGTAGTAAGAATTTTATATATCGGGCACGTGCTACCGAACACTTTCATATTTATTCTCTTTATCAAGATAATGTAGAAACGCAAGTCAAATTTGCTACAGGGTTTTGTGCTTTTGACTGCAAAGGAAATATTAACTTAAAAACACAGCGAAATACTAAATATGTAGTCTAGTAGTATTGTGAAGTTTTCCTTTAAAGTTGCAAGAACATAACTTTGCATTACAAGTATCATTTGCCGCCGGTGCCATCATCAAATTATTCTTTGCAAAAATCCATCAAACTCATCGTTGCACAACGTTATCTACTTAACTCGCCATTCTTGGTATAGTAGTTTATGATGACAAATGGAACTATATTTTGCTATGGAAAGTTTCCTGAACTCTTGAAGCATGTGGTTCTTGGTGTCTTGTAAAGATAGTTTGTATCGCGTGTGTTTGAATTTAATATCCAATTAGTCGAAGAACTTGTTTGCTCTTAGTTATGAATAAGTTGCAATAAACTGATTGCCAAGGGTATGTGATGGAAAACCAATAGAAAGATGGATTCATTTGTCTACGACAATTAACAGAACAGCTGGTTAGAAAATGACTATTTTAGGCATAATGCAGCCTTGTGATCTCACCAAAACAAGGAAAAAGGCAATCTAAGAAAAGTTCCTTCCTGTAAGAGTATCGCATTTGAGAGAGCTTAGGTCCTTCTTTCGTGAGAGTGTTACAAGTTTCTTTCTGACTGCAAAGTCATTTTCGATACTTGTTTTGAAAGTTTATGAATTTTTAAGCGAATATGCTCTTCCCTCTGGAATACAACTTTTCAAAATATTTGCCAATAAGCAACTTACAGTCCGGAACAAACTAATAATTGTTATTGTTTTATCATTGAAATGGCTGGCTCTAAGGAGTTTAGCTATTTGTGAGTCCATGCGAGTGAAATAAATTATGTATCTAGAGAACGTGACAGAATTTTTCAGCATTCAGTATCAGGGAACATTATTGAAGACTAAACTTCTTTCGCGACGCTGCGTTGGCAATTAAATTCAGAGGCATTAGTTTTTGAGCATTTTCTAAATACGTTTTTCTTTACACTACTTTGCAGCAATTTCACAATATGAAATTAGAAGCATGTTTACAAGGTACATCATAAATTCATACCTTGGAAGTCTTTTTCGCTCGATACTACACAGCTGTGCATAGTTACTGGCATGCCAATTGACCCTTCGTGTTGGTGTGCAACCCCATGGGCTAGTCTGTATGAGAAGCTATGCCCAATACTCGATGGGCTAGGACTAGAGAATCCATTAGTATGTGGAAGGTTGTAACTTGGCAAGTGTCCGTTTCTGCTTTGCAGTAGAATGTCTTCGATTCTGAACGACGGTGGAGACGGACGGTCGGATGGTGGTGAATAGGGTGTTGCTCCGCTAACGTAGTTTGGTACAGGGTAGCTGGACATATGTTGAAGACCATACGCACTTGCTGCCGTGTGCTGCTGGTGAGGATGCTCCATCTGGTATGGGTATTGCTGTTGACAGTACATCGTGATGGCCCTGCGCTTCTCCTAGAGCTGGGGCGCACAGTTCCTTAGATGATGTAATATAAGATGATCACGCCGATAATGACTGTACTGCCGTCTGTCAATTCTAATATGCAACAGAAAACAATGCAGGACTCTGTAATGGCTTTAAATAGTAGGCTCGCAACTGTAGAATATCTGCAACAACGCTATGTGTGTCCCTCTCTGTCAGTACCACTTTTCCAACCTTTTCCGTGCGATTGCAAAGCAATGCTAATAGGTAAATTGTAAAGATCAGTATTTCTATTGTGTTTCCTGCAATGTTTTATTTATAGTATATATCCCAGCTGAGATCAAAGAACAAACTGACAATCCGGAGTCTGGCGTACGTTTATATACTCCTTGTACGGTTCTACAACAACCTCCTTTGTCGCTGATTCAGAAAGGGAACCGGTCTCTTAATCCATTTTTTGATTGACAGGTGTAGTCTCAATAGCCATACAAAGATTTCTTTAAGTGTTCCACCTATCTCCGCTAAGTCGTGCATTATTTTTTGCAAGGCCAGGATCGCAACGCGTCACAATCCCTCTGCACAAACATCACAGTTAACTGTACCTTTGCCAATAGCGTTGCAAATATTCCCTGTAACTGTGCACCAGTAACCTCTTAATTATCTAAATATTTTCGTAAAGGCAAAGATCTCTGAAGATAGTGTGAAGCACACACCCGAAATCGAGCAATTAGCTATGCGATTAAGTGATAATGAATTAACCCTTCACACGCAAGTCAAATCACATTCCCTTTATGTACTCTTTGGCGTTTTGAGGATTATAGTTACATTTTTCGTGTAAAGAATCGTCTGCTTACGTGAAACGCGGCCTTGGGCTCTAAACCAAAACACGACCGAGTACTTTTAACCTAGTTCCCAGTGCTCCGGACACTACATTTCGTAAATGACGCATAGGCGCCAAGACTCAGCACTTCATTGGTGGGCTCGTTTTGTAACGTGCCTTCAAGGTGTAATATATTTAACGCGCTAATTCCATGTGAAACTGTTTTGCATATAGGACAATTGCAGAAACAGTTTTTATTTATTGTTTGCACGCTAGTAGCCTGCTCAGTGTTGCAAACTTTTTAATGCCTTAACTGTGTTTTAATGGCGCTATCGACTTGATTTAGCGCGTATTTGCCATAAAATAGACAAACTGCTCATTCTTAAGTGATAACGAGTATCTCGGACCAGTAGCAGCTAAACTACCTCTACCTACCCTCTCCCTTCCCATCAACGCTTACTATCAACGCTTATGATAGTATTTACTTGCTGATCACGGGACAAAAAATGTTGCTAATGATCAGAGATGAAGTTAGTTGAGCTAAGTTGATCTTAGACTGCAACGTAATTTGAATTTCTCTACCACACACTTTTGATCATCTACCAACGATGTTTCTTTGCTCTCTGACAGTCATGTTCTCTCTTTTTGACCTGATCATGTCACGAAGATTCCATGCACTGCACACATTCTTACACATCACCAATATCTCGACCACTTCCTATCCACTATGGTTGCTATAGATGACAGGGACACAGATTCAAGTATCAAAATATATGACGACTTTTTAGCTTTCTCTCCTGTTCTTAGGGATAATTTAAAAACTCTCCCTGGGAAGAATGAACCTTCTGTTTATTTTTAACTAGACAGTTACTACCTATCATGTATTTTTTACAGCTGGCTTAATAAAAATGTAGCTAAAAATATAGAGCACAAAACGAAATGAAAATTTGCAAAAGATTTTTTGGTAATGAAAAATAGCTTCGAGAAAGCAAACATTTTAAAACATACATAAAGTTAAGATGTTTTGGATTGTTTGCTTTTTCAAAGCATCTTCAAAGTAAAAATCACGTTAAACAATCTATAAGTCAATAGTTATATTAATACCTGAGATGAAACCTTGTTTCTCGAAGTAGAATTCTTTTAGTGAGGTAATGAAAAAGCAAGAGTGATAACAGAAACGGTCAAAGAAGCCTCTTTGAAGCTGATTTCTCTTAACCCTATTTGCAGCTCATGTCCCTTATAGGCACAGTGCTATGTATATCAGTCGACAAAGTCATCACCTCTTCCTCCAAAAACTAACAAATTACTGGATCCCTAAACCGAAAACTGAAATTACTTGTGTGGCTTAAATTGCTAAATCGTTTTTGCGGTTACCCAGAAGCATGAATCTTTGGAAAGTCTGTACATTCATGACAACAAAATTCTCAGGTTTTGGCTTGTCGTATTGTTTTCGTCTCGGAATGGTATTTCATACGAGCCCTGGGAAAGTGAACATACATCATATCCATCTTTACTGTATCTATTTCCATCAAGCAATAAAAGGGATTTGACACACAGACGATTCAGCAGCTAGAAAATGCCTAAATTTTTCTGTATTTGACTTTTTATAATCCCTGTTCCGCCTTAAAATGTCAAGGCCATCTTCCTTCGCTTGGGCTGGCCTTGTCTCTATGCTCTTGTGGTTTGCTCTGTCTCTGTATTATGACTATACTGTGTGGTTTGTAACAGTCGATGAAAGAGAAGGAGTGGAATCGTTATTTATGCCTAGGACGTCCCATTGATCCAAACAAGCGATTAGGTATGTAAGATCATAGCACTTTGAGCAGATTTCCCAATTTAATTGAAATCCGGTTGCCTTCATTGGTCCAAATGCAATGGTCCCTGCCTTTTTGCCAAGGCGACTTTTGTTTGAAGACGGCTTAACCTTAGTAACTGGGCCATATTCAAGCTTAGCTGGAAATCCAAGGTCGTGTTTCTTCTGACGATATTTGATTGTCAACTACTAAGTGCCAGTCTCTTCCTTACAGTCATCAGTAGAGACCGCAACAGGATCCCAACCTCTGTCACTGTTGTCCAATGTAACCACGCCAAGGTAAATTTTCTCTTTTCCATAGTGATAAACTTGTCAATGGCTGAATGGAGGCTATTAGTATTGATTGCATGAACTTTAAGAGATTGAACTCTACCGGTGCAATTGGGGGGCTGTGGGGACTTCAGATCCCCATTCAGTGCCTAAAAGCATTTACTGATTTGGGTTCGAGTCACTGACTTGAACAAGCTTGTACCATAAGTCAGGTGAGTCGTCAGCTATCTGTAACTCCAGGCGTAGGGATCACGATAGGGGCACTGCTTGATAAGCACACTTCTTAGTGTCCCAAAAATTACCTTCGGTATTTAGGTAGTCCATGTCTCCTCCACAGAATCCCCGTCGAAGTGTTAAAGACATAGCTATATTTCATAAACCGCTAAATCCTTCCTTTATCTTGGCTTGGACCATATCACTTTTTTGGTTCGCCTTGTAATCCCGCGAGAATAGTACCCTTGCAAACAATGCCTTCTTAATCACCACTTCACATAACTTGCCACAATTTTCTGTCTTACTACTTGGATATCTGAGGCTACCAGACTGTGCCACCCAACAATTTGCTTCTCTCGCTTCTGTGATTTCTATGATTCTGATATACATGCGAAATGGGAAGATAAATCTAGATTCCTATTGTTTAGAGCTATTATTCTGCCCATTTGTCTGAACCAATGAGAAGTGCTTTATATGCACATGTGCATTAGGGTGAAGGTCTTGACAAAAAATTTTCCTTCATAGTGCTTCACAGGATTTAATGAAAAAATTAATGAACACAACTATACATCATAATTGCATCAAATGAACCAGAATTATATTCTCCTTGTACTCAAGGCACCTCTTTCTTCGCCTTTTGATTCTACACTAGCCCATTGCCATAAGAGCCATGAATGTTCCTACAACAGAATACATATAGCTATATTCAAAAGGCCAGTAAAATCCCCTTTCAAAATATTTATTTCTTTCCATCCTTATTCTTAAACAGTTTAGAAACAATTAATAAACAAAAATTTTCAATTACTATGAAAAGAGATATAATTTCCATGGGGCTGATTCAAAAACATGTTAGAAAATACAACTTATTTATAAAGCAAGATAAAACACCAAGAAAGAGAAAAACAGGGGACTTTTGGTCAAGAAGAACTGTTACTTCTTGAGATCCTTTAGAATAAACTTTGTAATGGTGTGATGCATTTAGAACTAAATGGTAAGCAATGTCCACGAGAGACATGTCTGCTTGTTTTTTATAAAAGTTCAATACTGCAAGGTTATTGGGTCATGCTTGTTTCATGTTGGAACGAAAGCAGGTTTCTAGCATTCTAGCCATCGAGAAAAGTCTCTCTGCAGATTGCACTCGTTGCTGTGCAGAAGCCTGCAAATAGTTACCACTTCTCCTACGAAGCGAAGTTCTGCAGGTTTTAACTTTGTAATTCTCTTCATAATATCATTATGCTTCAATACTGCTTCATTCTTTCTCAACAACAAGATAGGAAGCTAAGCATTAAGTTGTAGTATATTGACATTTTCACCGTAATGCTAAAGTAATCTATTACGTAAATCTTGGTTATAACAAGACGAATTAATAGTTCCATATTTGAAAAGTGTTTTGCATGGCGGCTAAAGCCCTGCTAGCCCAGTGGCTGTGCGGTGCCTGGTGAAAATAACGCCATAGATTTTAGCCTGGCCAACATCGTGTTATAATTGAGTCATATCTCAGTTCTTCTCTCGGCCCCAGCCTATTCCTGACCTCTATACTGAACTATTTCCTCATACTCTTCCTTCCCTGAAAGTCCTCCCCAGTTCCCTTTGCGCTGTTCTAGCATCCATTGATCTGTGCAAGGCTCAAGTTCATTTATTTCCATCACCAATCTACCTGGTGTGGTACAGAGCTTTAATGGCAATGACTGTCCGAAGTGTACTTAACGCTTCACATTATGTTATAACATTACACTGCAATAGCAATTTAGAGAATTTTGAACAGAGCAAATTGCCAATTAGTTTTATTTCGGGATTAGCGTAGTTTTCTATCAGAATTTGAGAACGACATATCTGGTTTCAAGGACTGTATTTTTTTTTCTGTCATCAGATCCTTTCGAAGCTCGCCCTGATACGAACTGTTTAAACGCTAGAACTTTCTTTCCATTTCAATGACTGGAGCAAAAGCTACTCGTCCTTGCGCTTTCACAGACCGAGAGTTTTATATTTGAGGCTGTCTTTGTTTTGAAAGTGCCAGTTGTTACTGCATGTAATATATGGCATCTTAGCTTGGGGTGAGGGAAAGGAGGGTCGTTTGCTTTCTCCCTCTATTTTGAAATTTTTCAGAATTATCCAAAGATTCGGATAAGAAAGTTTCCAAAATGAAAGACCAGCACTGATACTTTGCTCTTTCACATTTGCTAAGTTTAAAATCATCAGAGAATTGGTCTCTTTGCGCTGCTCCTGCAAAGGACGGCTTTCAAGAAGGAAAGTTTAGCCTAGTCTCCCTTGCAATACTATCCTGTTTTTCTTTATGCCCCAACACATCTTCTTGTTGGCTTAGAATCAAACGCTTAAAATCGCTCAGTCATTTGCAAGAGACATGATCAGCAACCAAATATACGAAACCTGCCTTAAAATGATAATGACAGCGTCATGCTCCTCCGCTTCCCAGCTTCCGCGCTCTAGATTTTGAGGCTCCGGTACCCAAGGTTCCTTAATCTTAGCGTTTCTTTGCATATGCATATCGAAATCGTAAATAGTGCGCTGAGGATGTGACTAGATCCCAATTATCTGTTTACATTTTGATAAGATGTTTCATAACGAGGGAAGAAGGGCAACCTTGAAGAATTGGTAGTGCAAATGTTCACTATAACGATGTAAGATAAAACAAAGAGTATTCAGGCAAATAAGAAAAGCAGTTGAGAAAGAAAAAGAGTTATGCTGATCACGAGATGCAAATCGATCCATTTTCGTTATTACCAAACCATTAGCCAGTGTGGTGCGGCTCAACTCTGTGCTTATAAAATAGAAAACAGCCTACCCCGTGAAACCAAAATGCACGACCTTGCACGTCGTTAGCAACTGTAGCGCCAGTTTTATGCATTCCGTTTGGATCCATTGGAGACTTTGGTATCAAAAGAATAGAATTCGATCACTTGTCAAAGTTCTTGATCGAAAATCATTAAAGATACTCTCCCACTTCTTAAAACCGTTCTTTGTAAAAATATTTTTACGACTTCTATCTTAATTGAGAAAATGGGCCCACGTCTTATTAATGAAAAGGCGTATTAGATTGAAAAGCTTTGACTTCTAACGATTAAAATACAGTCTATGGTGATGAACCTTGCGAAGCGAATCCAAAGTTTCAGTTACCAAA